GTTGCAGTTCGTCAGAAAATTATGAGCTCAGGATCGTTTTCGAGTTCGTGCTGCTAGTTTTTATGCCCTCTTACGCCACATGAAATGGAATACTTGCCGAAGTTCTGACGTTTAAAAAACAGCTATGGATCATAATGCCCTTGAACTTACAAAATCAGTGAATCTGATGACTTCCATCAACTCTGTTCGTGAGACGAAGCTGAAGCATCATCTCTGACGACGCCCTTTGCCCTTTTGCCGCTAAGTGGAGAGTTTGTGGAAAAATTCGTCCATCTCGAGAAACGCTCGTCTCTAACTTTCAGACTGGACTGGCCGCTGGTCGGGACGGGAGAGTATTTGCCAGATCGGGCCAAAAAATCATCAATTTCTCGTGAGATGAATATTCTTCAACACGCTCTTCGACAACGCCGAGTTTTGAGGCGGGGACCCTTGTTGCCAACTGTTGAAAGTGACACATGGAAGCCGAAGAAAGTTGGGGAGTTTCTCGTGGCGGGAGGGACAACACCGGCGGGGACATCCGGTTTTGCGAGCGGCGATGGTCGGGGGTCAGGGCCGTGGGGCCGGGAAGGGGGCATACCGCCGGGGGGACCGGTTTTAATTTACTTAACCAATCCATTTTTTCGCCGCGGCAAAGCCGTCAATAATGTAGCTTTGCGGGTTGCTAAATTGCACAGAAAGTTGAGGCCAGCTTTCAAAAAATCCAAGGACTCAGCGAGAGTGTCGCAACCGGGGCGGGCTGCGTGGCTCCGAGGGAGAGGGGGCGGGCGTAAAAGTCATCGGAGACATTTTCACTTTTTTCTCCTTTCAAATATTCGTTTTGCCGGACGCGTATGTGCCAAGTGTCGTCTAGCCGAGGACGCACTACGCATGCGCACCAATCATCTCCAGGGCTTGGCCAGAGATGCAAAATTTCAGGAAATAGTATCGAAATTTCATTAAATTGGTTTTGTTGGTAAATTGCGAAATGGGTCTATTTCACGCAAAGATACAGCCAAATAATCACATTCACTGCGCAGGTAAAATCGCACAAAAATCATGCGTCGAAAAAGTCTGAAGTTCATTCCTTAGCGCGAAATCTGAGTAGTTGGTAACATGTTTCTTCAAGTTTCTCGCGTCTGAGGGCAGTTTTTTTCAGTCACCGCCGACCAGGTTTGCACAGGAAGAGGAGTAAGAAAAAAGAAACGATTTCGCTAACTTTTTCTGTTGTATGATTCCAATCGTTTTCAAGCGTTTCTTTACTTTTTATTTCTTTATTTAACAAAAACAAGAGCTCTGAACCGATTGAAATCTCACGCACTGTTTACTTAGGTTAGGTCTCCCTCCGGGCAAACCTGACTGCCGGCCGCCAAGAAAAACTGCCAGTGTACGCGGTTTTGAAAAAGCGTGCGCATAAAAAAATAAAATTGCTGATTCCACAATCTTGTGGTTAAAAAAATTTCCGACATGTTTCAATGTACATTTTACAATAGAAAAATGATAATTTAACTACCCCCGTGAGTATATCAGCTTTTCACTATTGTAAAATGTACATTTGAAAGATGTCGGACACATCTTTCAACAATTTAATTGCTAAATCAGCAATCCATTTTTTCCCGTGATGTTACAAACTACGCTGATTGCGCACCAAGGAGTGGATTTCAGACTTTTTTGATGTGCCCGACATGATTCTTGCGAGAATCATCTCTCAGCAAGTATATTCAGTTGGCTGTACCTCTTGCATGCAACAGACCCATTTAAAAAAAAAAAAAAAAACCCTCATTTTACATCACACACATCACAATTTTTAGAAAATATCAAGTTATACACACGAATACCTTGTCTTTTGATTAGGTGGACGTATCTAAATCATTTTTTGACCGAATGACATTTATTGCCACAAAAAAAGAACAAAAAAAAAACGAAAAAAACGAAAAAATAAGCAGCACAAGTCATACTAATTAGTTCATGAGAATGCTAAAATTCTTCTCATGGAGAATGAACAGTTTACTTTGTCAACCACGTTCTTTGGGCAGACGCTTTCTTCATCAAGAAAGTTACTTACTTCCCTTTCGCTAAACATCACATAAGCGAGCTATTTAATTAAACGAGGTTACATCGCCATCGAAGTTTAGGTGCTTACGTCGAAGTTAGTGAAACAGTAGTTACTTGCGCGGGAACGAAGAAATCTTACACATCGAAGAGGCAATGATGACATTGTAATCTAATGAATTCTTACAGCAAACCATGCCGCCTTCATTTGAGGGGATAGGCAACAAAGAGCTCTCACGTTTGAATAGTGGTATCAAAATATCATGCTCTAGGTTGAAGGCGAATTCATTTCTTCGAAAGCACTGCCGATGCCGATGCCGCCGAGTCTCTCATACGTTAATGACTGTTCTTTGGTTAAGAGTAAAAACGCTTTAACCCAAATTCGATCCCAATCTTCACACGGCTGAAAGATCAAAAATTCATAGTGTTTAATAAGTCGCGACTCTAAAAAAAGTTATCATGCCTACTTTAAGTTATATCTTTAATCTTTTATTATTAATACTAGTCGATAGATACCTGTAGATTGTATAAGGTAGTGGCGACAATTGTAATTTATCAATTAATTCTTCAAAAAAAAAAAAAAAAAAAAAAAAAAAAAAAAAAAAAAAAAAAAAAAAAAAAAAAAATGCCTACGACACATCCGTTGACCGAGACCGTCCGACTTTTCTGCCGTGATAACAAAGAGAGCAGTAAGTGTCAAATTTTCGAAATCGAGTTTCCTTCAAAATTCGTCGAATCTCTTTCAGATTGAATCACTGAAATAGGTAGCTGAAACAGCAAATTTCATCTTAATTGTACCAAAACGAGACATGTGAGAAAGCCGTAAGTGCGCAAAAAATGACGTAATTTCAGGCAAGGCAGCAGTAAGTGACAATATTCCTCCACAGAGCCTATGAAAACAGTGTTTTCAAGTAAAGCGCCGCCCTCTTCTGCCGATTTCTAACCCGAAATTGCGTTTGCTGTGTGTCCAAAACGCAACCACAAAATTATGCAGAAGACAGCACTTACGGCTGTCTTGCCTGACATTAACCTACCATGAAAATAAAAAACCCTTTTTACGTAATTGAAATAAAATCGGTCGATTTTTAATCATCTAAACGATTTCTGGAACGGTGTTTTGAATGATTAGTGGCAATTTGACAAAGAAGGAAGACTTCTTTCGATAAAACTTTCCGGTCAGAAGCTTCTAAGCCCGTTTTCTCAAAACTTCATTTTTGCACTTGCTGCTCTCTTCGCTTTCACGGCAGTATCGTATGGGGAATTAAAAAATAAATACAAAATAAAAAAGGAAAAAAGAAAAAAAAATTCATACATACGGAAAAAACGTATGCTGCAGAGAAAAACATTTCGAAAATTGACGTGTGGGACAGGGCTGGATTTACCTACTTGCCGCCCATGAGCCGCCTGTATTTTGCCGCCCCCTTCTCATTCGTTTTGAAACATCAATAAAAACCATCAAGTGAACGTGCCAGAGGGGGAGAGGTGCATAAGACGCGTTTACCTACTCGTGATGGATACATTTTTTGCGAAAGCCCTGTCAACACTACTAGCAAAATTTCACGGAACTTTGCGCGAAAGTTAAGTTCCGTGAACCTATCTCTGTCTCGACAAGGTCCTTCATTAATAAGAAATGAACCAAAAAATTATGAAGGAACCAAAGACATAAAGACGGAGCACTAAAAGCAAAAAATGAAGCTTCTAGAGCTTCTTTTCAATCACCTCTACTATTGGCTAGAGGATTGGCGGCGAAATCGGGACAAGTTTGAATTCAAATGTAGGGCGGGAACTAATAAATAAAATTGCGGAAACAAAGTATTTTAGGTTGATTTTTGCCCAAATTCAGGTACACACTCATATTTTATTAACTTTAGGTTAGTTTCGGTCCGTCGTCGACCGACTGATTTCATTTGGGAGTAACGTAGATTTAGAACTGTAACGGCCTGTTTGAACCTGCAGAACCACCATAAGCAGAAGAAAAACTAACTTTATCTGAGATTACTGCCTGTTACCGAGCAAAAGTAGGTGTAATATATTAGGACGCAGACCGAACTTTCTTAATATAATCGTTTAAAGCATTTAAAACACGTTTCGAAGAAGAAATAAGGAAAAATCAAGAGGACAAGTTCAAATCAAATTTCCGTTTGCCGCCATGGATTCCCGCGCTCATTTACACACTCACACAAACGCGCAGCGCCGAACCTAGCTTCACTTTTTCCCCGTACTTTTAGATACGAGCACTCCGTCTTTATGTCTTTGGAAGGAACAAACATAAATGTGTTTTAATAATTTTAACTTCCGCCGCTGCGCTGCGCTGATCGCACTGTGTTTGGCGCAATGCGTGAAGTATTCATGCAGTCTTGTAGGCGCTAATATGTGTTACATGCCGACTGCCGCGCCGAGGGCTTGTCCTTTTCATCTCAAGTCCTCGTCATCATTCCTCTCTGCGCTAAGCTCTAGGCCAAGTCGCGTGTTTAGTTCCTCTCTTAACTCGACTAATTAAAGATGCTGTCTCTGGTATCACCGAAAAACGACAAAATTAGAATTTCCTATACTCTCAGGAAAGAGAGATTTTGTCCCCTTTTCTCATTGATAATTATTTTTTTTCTGAATCCGATTTTTTTCTATACCTACATTTAAAAAAATTGCAAAATTTGCCGCCATGGGACACCCCACCCCCTTCATCCGGCCTTCTTGGTGTGGGAGGTGAGAAAGAGGAGAGGTGATCGAGAGAGAACAATTTCGCAATCGAGGAGGTATTTTTGTTTGAGGGCGTTTTGTGGCCCTCCGAATGCTTCCCGAAAGGCAACAACGGTTGAACTATCTCAGTTCTAAAACTGGAAACTAAAATTTTGTAGTTTGTACGTACTGTACCGCGAAAGCTTGAGCGTTTCCGCTTCCGGTCCTGATCTTGTTTACTACACGTTCCAAAAGCATTGTCTGTGCCGAGTTTGTTTGTAGGTTATGTTACCACACAACAAACACAAGCACAACATACATTCAAAAACGTGAAAATCCGATTGTGAAAATGGAATTCCTAATTTTGCATTTCTCTAATTCTTCGTGTCATTACATCGATTTTCTGTGATCAGTTAATGTGAAATTATACCTTGCGGCCTCTTGGGTTTTCGATTATTTTCAGAATACATAACTAAGCTTATAACCAAAATTGTCTTTGAACAAGTATGCTGTTTTGTTGAATCCTTAAGTTCTTCCCACCTTTTTGTGAACTCTTATAGCTTATGCCTAACTCGCAGATATCTCCAAATCTTCCTATAGCATCCATATCTTTCCCTGCTTCTATCGGGTAAGATGTTGATTGAAGGAACAGAACTGTTTTGGCATTGCATCATCATACAGCACATTGCATTACTCGATCTCCTCCTTGAAGTTAGAACTAAGTAGTTGATTACACGATGGCGGACCAGTATCTAGTTTTTCCTGGCACAGATGAGCCAAGCACTTCCAGACAGCATGGCACCGTGGTCGTACCTCAATTAACCAACAGAAGCGGAAAATTGTTGCAGGTGAGATATGTCAGAAAGTTTAAATCAAAATCTAAACCGAACAAAAACTTGTGAAATGAGCGGAACGAAAGCTAACAGCTCACCTACTCCAAAGTAAATTTCAGTTTATTTTTGAGCGTGTGAGGTTCAATCTTTTGCACCATTTATTTTTATCAACTGAATTCTTTCTTGTTTACGAGTATGAAGTGATAGATCATAACAAAACTTGCCGTCAGAGCTCCCGCCCAATTTCAGCTATCTTGCAAAGTGAGTCAGAAGATGAAACATCTTCATAATATGATTCAATGTGCAAGTCATCCGATATTTATCACTGCCTATTTGTTCCAAAGTAGGTAAATAGACAAGAGCTCAGTGTGCTCTTATGAGGGTGGTGGAATACACCTAGGGTTTCTTGGAATTGAAATTTCTTCTGTTTGATGAGGATTCAATTCCTTTTTTTTTTTAATGACCTAACAGTAACAAGCTGACAAAATAAAACCTATACTGAATTTGGACTTGAGTTTGCTTCATCGCTTCATTGATACTAAGTATTGAAATTCGATATGTCAAGTATTACCGGAAGGTTGTAGCCTCTGAATCAGTCTGTTTTACCATTTAAACTAAAGGAAATAGATATTCCTCAACGAACCCTTTGAGAGTCAGCTGCGAAATTTAGAACAAAATGTAGGTCCTCTACAAGGTAGGCACACTTTTACTCTCTCACGTGGTCTGCAGTAATGGGTGCAAAAAGTTCTTCGCCTTTATATTACTGTCCACATTACAGTAAGTACTTTCCCTTCACATTTTTTGAGGCAGCCATTACATTGCTTCACATAAAACTGTAATCTCTATTTTCCTTGCATAATAGAGCATGTTTTTCTTTTGATAGGAAAGAGTGGCTTGAAAACATCAAATATTAATTGATTTGGGTTACTAAGGAATATCGACGGTGATACTACCAGAACACGTATCTTGTTTGCGGTGTGTAAAAACTTTGCTCCCATTTTATTTTTTCTGATGGAGAACAAATCAGTTATACTCCATGATGTTTTCAGAGAGTTTTCTTTGTAAGGAGAAGAAAGATTGTGGAAGTTTTAAAAAATTGATGTGAGAATTGATATGATGATTGATCGAGTGGTTTTCCATGTAAAAAATAAAGGAAGTCAACAACGTCGCAAACGGAGGTGCGTAGTCTGGTAGTTTCACCATCGATATGTGTGCTCCTAAGTTCATCAGAATTAAACTATGATAACTAAAAAATGTTTCGTAATTTCATCTTTTCAGAAAATACGTCTCTGCCTTTAGCAGTTTTCTTTTTGAAACATTGCCAATTCCATGTACCATAGTAATGCCTTATAACAGAATGGGAAATGAAGAAGGAATTCTATTGATATTTTGGGATAAAATTACATTACATTAAATGCTAAGAATGCATTCATAGTTTTTCACTTCAATGGAATTTTTTTTCCCCATATCTTTGTCCTTTACTAATCACTTAAAATCTGCCTAATCAGATAATTTTTTACTACATTTCTCGGCTCACGATTGGTGTAATTTTTTGGCTGATTCATAGTAGAATACTTCCCCACATTCATCAAAAGTCCTTCATGCATTACAAAAAACAGACGGGTAACTTTTTTTTAACACCCCTGATTTTTCATGTTTTGAGCTGAGATGAGTGCCAAGTAACAGTTTGTACCGTCTTTGGAGCTACCAGTATTTAGCTAGTTTTTTTTCAAAAAGGAAAGGAAAGTAAGATTACTCACTGACAATGAAAAACTTCATTATTTTGTTTTCTTTTTTTGCAGATTTTGAATTCGATCCCTGATGTTGAATCGGACGAAGAATCAGATGGCGAGGAAGTTAGTTCTCTTGCTCCAGGGCAAAGGTCTGGGTCCTCTTCTCATCCGCCCAAAACTTCATCTCATTCAAAGATGACGGATGTTTTAACCAATCTAGATCAACTCTCATTTTCTTTAGAACGTCTGATTGTTCAGAAGCTTGAGGAAATTGACGTTAGGGAAGCGGAAATTAATGGGGAGTTAATGGAGATTCAAAAGCTGATAGAAGTTGATAAGGTAAGCTACAACAAGAATAGTGTCAGTTGCTTCGGAATGCCGTATTTCAAAACGCTTGACTTGCAGCCTTTCCCAGTAAACGAGGATTACCGTTTAAAACTGGAGAATGATGAGTTCATCTACCATGATTTACCCACAACCACATTCTGGAGTACCAACGAAATTCTAATGCTTGAAAATGCTGTCGGAAAAGAGATAAAGAATGGGACCATAAAGCGATCATATGATTCTTGTGAAGATCCTTGGATGAGGAGGAAAGACCGCGCCAAAGCTTCAAATTCATTGGACAAAGCTCCTTTTGTGGAAATTATGGAACACGAGGATGAAGATTTTGATTGGAACAAAATTGCAACCATCAATTTTCGTGATCGTCATTCGGCAGAAGAATGTAAACGCATGTGGCGCTTATATGCCAAGCCATCTATTCTCAAACGACCATGGTCAAAAGAAGAAGATAACAAGCTAAAGAAAGCTGCAGAAAAGAATAATTATCAAGATTGGGATGTAATCGCTAAGGAATTAGATACAGGACGTTCAGGGTATCAGTGTTTCATGCAGTACAAACGGAGGCTAGCTCCTATCAATAAACTCGGAAAATGGACAGAAGAAGAGGATAAATTATTAACTGACATCATTGAGCAGTGTCGAATAGGATCATACATTCCATGGACCAAAGTCTTGTACTATTTTGAGCATAGATCTCTACGACAACTGTTTAATCGATGGAAATACTCTTTAAACCCTCAGCTGAAAAAAGGCCATTTCACACGGAGCGAAGACTTTGGATTGTGTGTTGGTGTCTCCCTGTACGGAAAAAATTTCAAAAAAATTGCTAGCATTTTGGGCAATCGCAGCGCAGCTCAGATTCGGGAACGGTATAAGGCCAAAATGAACGACTCCAGATCAGGTAGTTGGACAATCGAAGAAGACCAACAGCTGATTGAGTTGTTTAATAAGTATGGTGACAAAAAGTGGTCTCAGATCTCTAAGCATCTGTCTCGCGATAGGACGCAGTGTAGGTTGCGCTATAAAAGACTGAAAAATAAATATAATTTCAATTTAGATATTATAAAGAGAAATGTTAAGTACAGACCTCTACACACATATGAAAAACAATGGTTCAAACAGTATTTTGCCAATGGTAAAGATGAAAATACTTTGAAAGCCGTCTCCAAAAATTTGTCCCTAATTAAAAAGAGAGGACGAAAAGGAAAGTCAGGCACTCTGATGGAGAATCAGCTCGTTGATTATTTCTCTGAGTCATATTCAGAATCACACAAAAATTCCTTCAAAAACCTCACTGTGGTTGATGAAACAAAACTTGAAGGGGCCGCTGAGGTGATTGTGCAACTTTTGAAACTCTTCAAAGCTAACCTATGCTTCCCAAAAAACATCAGTGAAAATTTTATCAGGGCTCGTGACTCCAACCAAGTGGTCAATAGTTCCATGCTCAAACTTATGATGCTTGTTGCTAAATCATATAATGCGGAAGGAGGCGCAACTAGCTACAATAATTTTTCAGTTGACGCGGACAATGATTTTGCTGTGACCGAGCTCGATCCGCTCAAAGAAACGAAAATAGACTATGATCCCTCAAAATTTTCTCACTTGTCAATTAACCTCGAACGCTCCTTTCAGACAAGTTACAACCAAGCCTCCATGTCCAGTTTACTTTACGGTGATACAGGAGAATTCTATGTGGAGCCAAAGCCTGTGGTTACAGAAAATAACGATCCAATTGCAGTTCCTGCTGAATCATCAGGATTCAATTTACAACATCTCCATTCAAGGAGCAACTTCTCCAACGAAGTGAGTCATCCATCTGTGTCAGAAGAAAAGGCAAAAGTTGAAACGCAACTTGATTATCTAATTCCCCCTTGCGCTTCTTCTATGGTTTCACTTCGGACATACATGTTAGCACGCCGGAAATTGTGGAAAATGATCGGCAAACAGGAAATCCGCGAACGGTCAAAACTACCAATGCACAACCTACCAAACAAATTGTCACCATTAGAAGCACATAACTTAGCGATCTCTCGGTTTTCGTCCCTGCTGTTTTGGCCTATGTTCCTGTCCGCACATAGGCCATCGAAATTCGGAATAAAAAATTTAGCTGAAGAAAGTGTGGTAATTGCAAATGACAAATCTAGTTTGGGTTCAGGAGAAGATAGTGATGCTGACGCTGAAGATTTTTATGTAAAAACATTTGAACCGCCTGCTCCCCCCAAGAGGATTCCGAAGAAAAATACAGTTCTCTATAGGAAGAAACTGAAGCTAGATAAAAAGGCAGAAAAGCTAAAAGCAAACGCTCATCTGCAGAAAAACCGTGATAGCGTCAAACCTCCCGAATTAATTGGCTGTGATTCAAGTTTGAATATTGAGCAAAATCTGGCAGCAAAAGTGTCACCAGGGAATTCAAATTTGCAAACCTCAAGCAAAGATTCTGAGACGAAAACCAAAAATGATGCTGCCGTCAGATGTACCACGATGAAAACAGGAACCAAACGAAAGAGTCTCTCTAGTGTGGGTACCCGACGAAGTCAAAGATTGAAGCAGCCAAAGGTTGATGAAGAAATAATAGCAGATCCAGAAGTGAAAGAAGAACAAGTTGAGACTGTAGATTTAACTTAATTGTAAGACAAAAAGTCATCTAACTGCTTCTAGAAAGTAATTTCACTTTCATCGTTAGCCATCTTACATTTACAAATACGTTGGTAGACATTTATTGACTCCCACCAGGCTCAATGTCACAAGCAGGAATTTCTGCCAGTCTTCATGGTTTTTTTTCCCTTAGTTTCGAAATGAATTGAATCCCGTATGTGAGAAGCAAGCTGTTTCATTTTGTTAAAAACTTACTTGCACAGCTTTTCAACCAATTTAAATCCTGCCATTTGCAATTCCCTCTGACAGTAGTGGAGTTATAGAATAATGAAAAAAGTTATTTTTATCGGAGGTAGAAAAGAAGAAAAGGAAGAGATGGCTCGTTTTCAAACGGGGTAATTCAACTAAGTTGGTCTCTGGTAGAAAGGCATGAATTTACAAAACCATTTAATCAATCTCTTTTAGAAAATTCTGAAGTAATTTTATTCATAGGAAAGATTTTGTAACCTTTTATGCTGGTTTTTAAAGTTCGGACTTTACAAAAGAATGAAGGGAAACTGAGACATTTTAAGGAAATAAAGTAGGTTTAAAAAGAGTTTAGAAACGCGTTTATCACTCCTGTTCGTTATTAATAGATAATGTAGAGTCACTGATCTTCCCAACATATAAAAAGGAAACTTTGGACATCTGATTCAAGCAAGTAAGATGAAACTAAGTTATGAAAGTTTTGTATTTTATTTTTAAAATCAAAACTTATTAGGAAATAATGACACTACTCTACAGAACTGGGTTCAAATGCAGAAAAGCTTCTAAAGTCTTAGTGTGTTTTAAGAAAAAAATGACGACACCTTGGATTTTTTTACATGAGAATATAAGCAAGGCTAAGTTTCGAAGGCTTCTGAAATGCAGAAAAATAACAATTCGAAAATTTTGTCCTTGCCTTCTTCTACCAGAAACCGATACAATTATAGTCATTATTCACAAAAATTCAAATTCTTAACTTATATTTAAAATCTGTGAAACTCATTAAATTGGCGCAAAGAAGAGCTTCAAATTAGCCACCATATTTCTTAGCTAATGCAATATGTATGCATTTATTTGAAAACCTCTGTGAAACTCTTAATTTAGGGAGAGTGAGGAGTTTGTAATCACAATTGATGAATCATGTTAAGAAGAGATTCCTGAAATGATAAAATTTACTGATTTTGACCTTTGAATCATTTTGTGAAATGAGACATTCTAATATTATGCTAGCTTTAAAGCTCTTGTTCAAGGATTGCTCTTGAGATATTCTATTCTTAAAAGGTTGTATCTCACTCAATATTTTTTTGTAATACATATACTTGCATATCTGTTAAGTAAAGTGCACCATGTTGCCTTTCAAAAACTGGATGATGTAATGAAATTGGCTTTGATATTTTGATTTTGATGCCCTAAGTTGAAGAACATTAACAAGGCAGCGTAATGTTGCTTATCCATTCATTAACGTTATTTCTAAGAAAGAAAGAAGAAAACTTCCATCTTGACGACTAGCTGTAATTTTTCCTTAATTTAGATTCCCTTCGTCAAAAAATTTCAAGTAGTATTCAATGAAATAATAACCATAATATGTTTAAACATTAAAGTTTGAATGTACCTCTTTTGATAGTGAACGTTTGACCTGCATTGTACAAGTACAGTCCCTCTCCTCTATCAATTGAAATGCAGTAATTATCATCTGGATATAATTGAGTGCATATTTTACAATATTTCAAAATTTTTGGTGAAAAAGAACAGCCCATAGTTTGTTGGCTTTCATGGAGTTTAGATTAGAAGTTGGTCCTTTTACTTACAGGAACGTAGGTATTTTCTGAGAAAATAAGTTGCCCATTATTATTTTCCCTAAAGAGGCTGAGGAGTAGAAACTTCAGTTAGGAATTCCGAAAATAGGAGGCATAAAATCGAAGTATCCTGAGCATGCATTTTTTTATCATTTTTTTTATCAACTCAGGTATTGTAAAATTTCCTTTTTTAAAAAGAGTATTTTTGTTAATTATGTTATATTAGAAGACAAATACTGTTACTTTTGTTACATTGGATTTATTTGAAAGAATATTAAAGAAAAATATACCATAAAACATGAAATACATTGTATTTTTTTCAGGTTTTCACTTGTGATCCTGTTTTCCTTAACTTGACAGACAATATGGTCCATTTTCAATCATCCAAACTACTTTGGAGGTTTTTAAAATGATTAATGACAATTCACCAAGTACAGAGGATTCTTTGATAAAATATTTACCTCGGACACTATTGGACCCATTTTCTTAGAATGTCATTTTTGCACTCATCAGTAACATGATAGCACAGGAAAGAAGTAAAGACAAAATACTAGTTTGCAGTATAAATTTTATTTTATTTTCAAAATATTTTGCTGTAATTTACATATATACTCGAATTTACAAAAACAGAAACAAAAGCAGAAATACCTTATTTCCTAAATAATTTCAAAATTAAATTACAACGTAGACTAAGTTATAAACATCCTCAGTAATCTGAGTTTTCTAGGACTTGATATCTCAAATGGACAATGATTACCATGATGAAAGATAAAACATGCTTGATGAAAAAAACTGCAAATGGTTGTAAAAAAATTACTAAGAAATGGCACACGGTTGGAGAAAAATGCTTATTGTCGCTTAGCTTATAAAACCTTTTTAGTATTGTTTCAAGGGAAAATGGCAGCTCTAAAATCGGCTCCACCTTGTTTAAGTAATTGAAATATGTTTAAAAGAAAGTGAGAAATTGAAAAATAGAACAATATATTTGGTTAGTTATAGTTATTAAAAAAATCAAATAAATGCCTCTTATTTTGAATCAAAGAAGAAAAAAATAAATGGAAATTCTAGACTGGAATGACTGCTTTCACAAAAAAATATCAATGTCTTAATGTAAATTGTTCTCCTTGATATGAAATGGATGAGTCAAATGAAGAAAACTATGAATATGAATGGGTAGGTACAAACAACTACCAGCAATTAAAAATTCACAGTGAAAAGTTCATTTACCTTATGAAAACTATTTGTCTAGAGGGACCTTGAGATTAAAAGCTCTGTAAATCGGTATAAGTACTTCAATTAAGGTTAAGAGTTGATTAGCATTACTGCTGACGAACATTGAAAGGAGAACTGATATACATGTAGGATTGTTGCTGACATTTTGCAGCATCAACGAATTAACTGCTGAATGGTTGCAGGTATATATTTCCTGGGACGCCACCATTGTAAAGAAACCCACCCTGAAAAATGAAGAATCAAACCTGAGAAAGTTTCTGTGGTGTATATGTTGTCCCAAACCATGTTCGTCATGATACATAATAATATTCAAATGAAAAAGGATTTAATTGTTTTTCCATGACTTCTTGGTTAATTCTATCTGATTAACTTTAAATTATCAATTTCATTTGTTTCATTTAATTATTGATTAAAAAGGCATCAAAAATATTGAGATCGAAAACTAATTGCTACATACAAATTTGTTCGCATGAACCTTTGATGACAAAAGCAATTTCTTACGAAAACTGCACCACACCAAAAAAGGATTAAAAACTTCTCTTTCAGGACTTACAAGACTAATGTAAAAGGTATTCAAAATAAGGCAACGATCAATGAATCAGTCAAGGTAAGCACATCATCAGCCGTTTCATATTACGATCTTGAAATTTACCTTGCTTATGGTCCGGACACATTGGATTTTCAATTAGAGAGTAGCTATTTACAAAGTATTCAGAGTATACCATGGTTCATGCAGCCTCAAGAATAAAAAAAAATCAAGCACTTCCCAAGCTTTTTAAAGAATTTTCAACCACTTTTCACATTTGTAGTAATTTTTAAGAGAGAAAAAATGCACAGTTTTCTCCTCGGATCGTAAGCCCTGTTTGTAAATTTGTTGTATACTTTGAAGGCAAATTGAATTTTTTTTGTTATTGGGATATCTTTCCAGTTAAAAGGCAGACGCTATGTTATTTCTTGAACGTTAAGCTATCAGTGCTGACAATTAGCACAGATAAAAATTTAAACACTTTTTGGGCATCTTTCAAAACATCAAGCACTTTTAAAGCATTGAAAATTTCAAAATCAGGCACTTTTTTAAGGCCGCACGAACCATACATTCAAAGTTGATCTTTCGTCCACTTCAATTTTTTGCATGCTAAACACACTGAAGCAACATCGCTGGAGACTGACACAGTACAATTTCAGTTACAGAAGCAAATTAATCACTTTAACATAATGGAATTACATACAGGCACCTGCTTTGCATGAAAAAATATCCAAAGTTTCCTTCTAAATATTATTGTTAGTTCATCTTTCATTTTTTTTAAAGGTTCAGTACATGAATTAAACAGTACCTTCGCCTCACCTTTTTCATCTGTGGAAAATTCAAGGTCATACAAATGATTTTTTCTCAGTCAAATACATTTTTCAACAGACACCACTTGACCATCCATCTATTGTCGGTCCACTAACTAACACGAGGGGAAATGATCTGGTCTGCTTAATTAAAACTGATGCATCCTGAGAGATTTTACAAAGGGCTCTAAGGCACCTATTTTCCGGGGTATTAGTCACAAAGCAAAATGTTTTATTAAAAGCAATAGAATGTAAAATAACAGTAAGGGTAATTTTCCACAAAAGCTGAGAGGTAAGTTTACAAAAGCACCATTTTTTGAAAAGCAAAAGGAGGAGAAAAATCACAATATTTCATGGAATTTTTTTTCATTTTGATTTCTATCATCAGGTGAGAAACCGAAGCACAAAAACATTGACATTAGTCTCAGCAAGAGCGTCATTAGTACAAGCAAAACTGAAGGTGAGAGATAGAGCGAGAGAATTTTTTCTTTTTAATTAACTGAATAACAAAAGACAACCGACAAGAATAGATTCGAAATAGCTACGGTTTTGATCATTTTACTCACTGCTGCTTAAAAACATTCTCAGTTGGCAAGGGTTTTGCACATTTCTTAAAATGCCCATTATCAAAACACAGGCTAGCAGAGGACTTGCACATAAAAATAATAGCACCAACAAAAACATCAAATGCAACAAGGTTATCCAAAAATAAAAGACTCTCGTCAGCACGGTTGTTTCGGCGGTAATTTTGTGGTTAACTGGGTTGTTTCCGCTCTCGGAGGAGGGGGCGGAGGTCTCTTTTTCACAATGGGCACGGAATCAGGGATAATTACAGGGGAAGGGGGGAGATTGAATGTGACAGTCTTAGGTTTATGCGTGCCTGGGTTTGAGTTAGTATTCAAAATTGTACTTTTGTTAGGCGTGGATTTAGCAAAGATATTCTCATACAAGTTATATTGGCTAGAATTTGTACTGCTTCCATAATGCTCTTGCACCCAATTGCTAACATTTGTCTCGCGATAGTCTGCTTCTCCAGGCGGAGGATCTCTGAAACCGAGAACTTCATGCGGTGTCATCTTTACATCTAGTTTACACTTCTGGGCAACTTGCCACTTGCGCCTCATAACTCTCTGCAAATCCTGCAGGAAGTCCTCTGAGGGAGGTAACAGTCTAGGTGGAGGGGGTGGGGGTAAGTCCACCTCATCATCATCTTCATTTAGGGTTAATGAACTTGCAAGAAGTTCAGGAGGAGGAGGGGGTAAGGAACTAAAACTTGGAGATCTTTCAATCATCGCTTCATCGATTTCTCGTTCGACAAGCAGATTGGGTTTGTTGTCAACTATTGGCCGTGTGAGAATAGCACTCTCAATAAATTCACCTGAACCTAATCTATGACTATTTTTATCCAGACTATTTTGATGCTTGGAGACAGATATTTCATTTGTTCTTCTATCTGTTCCGATTGAATTCTTATCTAAGCTACTTTGACGCTTGAGAGTCGCACAGTTACCATAAATATTGTTCCGTTCAAGGCTATTAGATACAAGCCTCTCTTTCGGACTGTTTGCAATATCTATACTTACACTCACACGCCTTTCAGAACAATGATTTACATCTAACGGTTCTTCCGTTAGTCTTCTATCTACATTTCCGTAAAGTCCATTACTCCTATCAAGAACAGCTGTGCTGTAAATTTCTTCTTCTCTTCGCAGAGAGAACATGTTTGAATTTGAACTTGCAATATCCTTCAATTGACGAGTGGTTTGTGTCAAAGGGATTTTTGGAGGTTTCCTTTTGATGGTTCCAGACGGGAAGTCTGATTCAAAGGCAACATCACAGCCAGAGGAGCCGGAGTCCGATTGGTCAAGAATTTCGTTATCAACTTCATCCCCATCAAGAACTGAGCGATAATTATCATAAAGCTGACGTCCATACTGAAAGCAAAGAGCATAAAGAAATCATTACATTTTCATAAACAACTGGAAATTTTCCATGAATTAGAGTTTCCACAGAGGTTAATAAGAGACTTGTCCTTAAATATCTGCAATACAGATTGTATTATTACTTTTCCTTGTGTCCTACAGAATCTAAAACAGAAAGTCTAGCCTAGAGTTGACCACTAGAGAAGGTGCGAATATAAGTTACAATACATCATTTCTCTTCAAAATTTCATGCTTGATCAAGACCAATCTACACAAGCCAGTCATTCCCAAGACAAGAGTTAGAACTCTACTAGGCAGTGATGTAAAATTGACTGTCTGCGATGTGTTTCTAATGGGAGCAACCAATGTGACGTCACATTGGCAGCGGTCAAGTTAAAGCTGGCCAGGGCAGGGGATTTCAAAAAGATGAGCAATGGCTGACATGTGTAGATTGGTCTTGTGCATGATTTGAGCAACATTTGACACATTTCGATAACACTTCATTAATTGAAGATACGCCAATAGTAATGTAGTGTGTATAATTTGAAATAGTTTTCATGCAAACTTTGCCATTCTAACCGTCAAACCCATTCTAGAAAGCAAACAAAGGTGACTCAACAACTTTTTCCTGTCACTTTTGTCATTTTCGGTGAAATTTCCAGGTTTTCCAGGTTTTTTTAAATTCCTTGGAATTTTCTGGTTTTCCCCATATTCCCTGACTGTGGCAACCCTGCTATTCTATCGACACTAAAATGTTTCATCCATATCACAAAACTCAACAATCTTTGCAAGTTCTGCTCATGTGTTCTCTAATAAATGTCAAGACTGTAAGATGTTAAAGGAACCAAATTTGAATATTTCAAGAGACAGAGGTGAGAAAAAACATACCTTGACAATACGAATAGCTATAACCCATCGGTGCATTGTGATTGAATCTTCTGCACACAAATATTTAATGTGCTTCGAGGATTTTGGCTGCTGCAAACAAGGATGCTTGATGGCAAAACCAAACTCTGTTGGTGCTTTCAGTTTCTTTTTCCAGCCTACTCCATAATAGACCTTAAAAGGAAAAAAATCAATACATAAATAACCAGAGATTCAAATATGTTTCTATTTACAAACTATCTGATGGCACTAAAAATAAACGAGACCCTAACGACTTTTCCTTGCTTACAAACGTGGGGGAGGGGGTGATGGTGGTGGTGGTGGTGGTAGTGTTAAAATCAGAAAAGCATAACATAAAATTGTTCTCATCATTCAAACTGATCTGTATGATGCCAAACCTGGACAGAAAGCAGGAAGTAGGAATCTTGAATTCTCAGAATTTAGGAGATATATTTTAGTACATGTACCACCACCAAAAAACTCACAGCAAGGGTATTTTGTGGGTTAGTTTAATCTGATTTTGCCCTATTTCAATTTTGATTACTCTTACCTAACCCACCAGGCAATTTCAATTTTCTGTTTGATCAGCTCTTCCTGAGAAACTTCCTTCGAGGTTTTCTTATGGGACATTCAGCTCTAAGAACTTCGAACACATACATAGGATGCTATTGTTGATGATTGATTGAAAGAGATGCAACAAAATTTTTGCTTACACATGCTCCACAGATTAAAACAGACAACTGCGAGGAGATTAAGTTTAATTAAAATGAAGCCTAAGCTGCTAACACTTACCTCATTGTTTTCAAATTTGGTCAGGCAGATCATATCCTTCGGAGACCGAGAGGAAGATTTGTCTTTGGGTAAATAGTACAGTCCAGAAGCCCTTAGAATACTCTGATACTTTTTCCAGCCCTTTCGAGATTCAGTCTTAATGTACAGAGAGCCTTCTATGTTTGGGCCACCTGCTCCACTCAGAAGTTCCTGAGAAAAGGCAAATTACTCCATGGTTAGTTGAAAATGATTATAAAATGAGCGCACAGGAGACAGAAAGGAAAAAATATAAACAGCTTGAAGGTATGAAGAGGTTAAATTCTTCCTGGGATTTTGAACATTCATCAGGGGAAAAAATTCCTTAATTGATAGATATTCATTTCATAATGCACCTTAAAAGTCTTAACTTTCATTGTTGTTTTTTCAATGAATGGAAAGTGCGTAAATCAGATTTATAGTGCTCCCATGGAGAAATTGTAATAAATCTTAGTAAAAAGTCTTGCCTCCTCAGCAGATACATAAGATCCAAATGAATTAAATCACATACAAAGAAATGAGCTCAAATTGAGGTTACTTTAGGAAGAAGTAGTTTGAAAATTTATTGTTTTACGTATAAAAGTTTCTTTGCTTACAGTACTCCTTGCATAAATTCCAAAAGAGGCTGGAAACTTTTTGTTAGGTCTTTCTACCTCATACAGTTTAGTAATCTGTAAATTTATGAGAGAGCTACTATCTACAAGAATAAATACTACTTTTGATTCTTCAACTGCCACATTAGGGGTACAAATTATTCTACATCCATCCTGCTTGAGAAAGTTAGGTAGAAACACTGCACAGCTAGAAAAACGTCCCAACTTTTTTCAGAAATAGTCAGCGTTTTAAAAGTGTGCATTTTCCTTTGAAAGCAATCATGATGTAAAAATTTGAAGCTATCAGCTCTCATCCCTATTCCTCTATGAAATGAATGGATAAAGCTTAGACGCCGAGCTTACCTCAATTATACTATTCTTTGTGAATTCGTCCAAGGGTTCAATCAGCGGCGTGTTCAGGTGATCGTTATGGAACAACTCTGGCCGTTTGAAGAGTAAAGTTCGCTCAGGTCTCTCAACAAAGTAAAGTTTATTTTGAGAATCTCTCGTCCACAACATCAGATTATTGACTAACATTTCATGATCTTCATAGACACGCTCTACACAAACACAGAAAAAAAGAGCATAAACATCATTTTCAACACGACAAAAAGAAAATGATAACAGCCAAATCATCTCAACCAAAGGTCCCTCGAGGCATGATTTTTTACCACAAGTGCAATCATCTACAGAATTTAACCAAGAAGTAGAAACTGAGAGGTCAGTTTAGAATTAGTTTGTACGAGTCATTCATTATGATCTCTTCTTGCCAATAAAGGAGATTATAAAAAAATATCTTAAAACATAATGTAAAGATTCACTCCTGTGAGGAATAAATTATTTGTAGACCATGCCTCTATGTGCTGGTAATTTATGACTCTATTTTGAGATTTCGTGAACTACAGTGCCTTTTCCCCAAAACAATCACATATTAAGTGATACTTTCAGGGCTTTAGAGTCTGATTAGAGTTTGGAATAAAAACGTACAATCAGCCAAAATTGAGCACCTTAAAAATGAAATGTGAAGTTAAGAACTCTTTTGTAAAAGTTAGTTTATGGAAAAACTTCATGAGAGAACATTCATGACAGATGATCTGTCTGTATGAAAAAAAACATACTTTCATGAATATTATTGTAAACTTTGTCGATTTTATACTGAGTAAATCATTTTTTCTGTCAGAATTTGAAAGGCTCAAGTCGAACTTACCCATGTGAAGATCGTTAACATATTCAACAAGGCCCCAGGAGGGTTCCAGACTAGTATGATTCTTTTCAGCTAGAAGTCTTGTGACGTATCCACACGTCATTGATTCATCAACCAAGAGGGATTTTGCAGATCCATCTAGACTGAATACTTTAATGAATATTTTCTTGATATTTGCTTCCCGCATTTTCTGAAGCGCCAATCGGATTTTCTCTGTTTTCCCATTTTGGCCAGCCTACAAAAGAAGTAAAAAATAAATATAACATACAGAAAGTAAATGTAGAGTGAAAACTTAGACACTTCTGTCACTTTTGCCACTATTTTTTTGTGAATTGGAGAGAAAATTTTTTGTCGATAATAAATAAAAGCCTTTAGCTGTGAAAAGAAACAGTGCCCTTCCCATTTCTCCATCATAGAAACAAATGTAAATAGGAATTCTTCTCTTTTTGGGTGGAGTCACTGTCAACTTCATTCCAATCTGTATATCCTCAATACAAATGGCATGAAAACAAAATAAATAAAGGCCTACACTCAATTTGAGTTCTGGTTCAGTTCTGTTGATGGTCTAGTTTTACAATAACTTACGTACCATAACTGACTTGCTTCAAAGAAATAAATGTGCATAAGACTTTTTAGAATTTCATTCTAAATTGAAATAATTTACTTCACCGTCTAGACTTTTTCATAAAGGCTTCCACTTGTAATATCAAGAATTTTGGCACTGTCCAAATTTTAGTATTATTTGATATGCCATTCCTAATGACCTCTTGAGCCCGATAAGTTTTTTAAATAAAACTTTCTATGTGCTAATGCCAAGAAAAGCAGGGCTGAAAAGCGAATTTTTGGCATTTTCATTCTTTTATTCATATTATATTCCCAGTGAGCAAAGAAAGAATAGCTCTTTCCGAGCACTGATTTGCTACTGCAATATTTCTCCTAGTTGATGCATGTTTCAATGCTGAAAACCTTAATTTTCAGCTTTGTTTTTCTCACGATTGACGCAATAGAAGTTTCATTTTATAAGCTCGTCATTCTCAGGTGGTCGTCACAAACATCATATTGAATAATATCAACATTTAGCCAGTGCAGAATTTCTTAGAATTCCATGCAGTTCTTTGAGGTATTAAATAAGATATAAAATACTGACCTGATTTGCACTGACTGACGAGGATGCTGTGGCATCAGTTCGACCACTTGAGGCAGAGCTTTCACTCGATAACAAGGATACACTGTCAGAGAATGCTGAATCATTGTCCGGGCTATCAGTGCGGGCTGGAACAGATCAAAAATGCATGGTTTCATTACAAGAGATCTCTTGAGTATTCAATAGACAGACTGAACAAGGGATTCATCATGGCCACAGCCAAAACTCTTCATGAGCGCTCTTGAGTGCGAAAAAAATTTCGACCATACGACTGGGAGGTCCCAATAAAGAAAGGAAATGCCTTTAAAAATGGGAAGACTGGTGCGTTTGCATGTAAATTGCATATTCTCCACAAAATAGAGGTGAGATTGCCCCTCTCCTTACTACAAGTAATAACAGATATTTTGAAAATTGCGGAAATCTGGACAAGAAGAGATAAAAAAGGTCATAACTATGATACTTTGGAAGAAAAGAGGGTTTTTTAAATGGGGAGGCCAAATTGAAGAAGGGAATGGATAAGATTCTACATTCCTGGAGAGCTCCGTGTAACCAGAACGCTTACAGGAAAAGGGAGCCCCAGTCATGATTATATAATCTGAAGGCAGTAGGCTTTTAAAGAGATTACCAATGTAGGGACCAGGATCCCTAACCCGTTATTAGCCGAAAAATAACGGAGATGACACCGACAACTCTGGGTACTGCAATGTTACTTAGAAATTATTTCTCCTTTCTCCTCAAAGAAGAAAAAGGTAGACCAGGGACAAAACTCCTTTAGAGAAAAAAATCCTCTCTATTCTAATAAAATTATTTTTAAGACGCTTGATGGACAGGCGAGGAAGGGGAGTAAGAAAAGTAAGAAGCGGCCTCTAAGGGCGCACAGAGCCCCAGGGGTTGGGCCACGTAGCGGCCAGGGAGCGGAGCACCCTAGTGGATAGATAGATAAATAAGAAGCTAATAGAGGTTGTGCTTCTTCCTTCATATTTTAACAGAAAAAAAGAATTACTCACCAACACCATGCGCCTCAGATGGACTTCTCCTGTGTTGAGAGATATCTGTTGCACCTGAAATAAAGATGGAAAATATGAGAAGATAAAATAAAATAAAATAAAACTTCTCCCTTTTGACCAACAAACAGTTACGCACGGGTAATGGACAGCTAAGGTTGGTGAAAAATTTTAGTAGAGGAGTATATGATTGGCCCTGCAAATTTACAATAGCGATATTTTAGCAAATTTTTATGCTCTTTGTTGCCCCCTTCCCCCTTATTCTATTTTTATAAACTTTCAACTCCCATAACTTCGATTAAGTTTGACATACCTACCTGGATTGTTTTTTTTTTACACAAAATTTTTGTAGTACATTCCTCTATGCTCTGTGGGCCTCAATTATTCCTAAAGATGTGCTTAAATGTAAATTGGGAAATGAGATACAGTATGTACATGTGGGTTCCACCGATCCCCTTTGAGGAATGGGATCATTTTTTAAATGAAAACCAAAACTAGTGAATGACCCAAGATGCATTTTTTAAATTGACGTAAGATTTTTTTAATTTTTGGAGGCAACGAATTATTACTTTTTTTTCAGAAAAACGCGAGTAGGTATCGAAGAAAGAGAATAATGCAGTCCTTGTTGTGTGAGAACTCTTTTAGATAATAAAAGGAACCAAAATAATAAATTACCTGATTTGTTGAGAGAAGTTTGAGACAACTCTTTGTCATACTGAGACTCTAGGGCACAAAGCTCACCAAGAATAGCATCTAAGTCCACATCTTGAGTATCTGTAAACAAAAAAGTCAACAATTTTAAACTTGAATCATTTAAAAGTCACATTGCTAATAAGAAATAAGGGATTAAAGAGACGAAGAAATACAAGGATAAAAAAACCAATCTGTTTCGTATTCTTGTGTTGTGAGTAGCTATTTTATTATAACATTTTTATTTAATTGCGGCAGGAGTCTGAATTCTGACTTAGAACTGGTCACACCATTTATTTGGTTTTAAATATTGTAAAATTGTGAATATGTTCTGTCGATTCTATGAAGTTCTCAGTAAGACTTTGACGAATTTCAAGTTAAATCTGATGCAAAAAAATAGTAAGTAAGTAACGATAAATTTTAGACTAGCAAATTACGTAGGTCTAAAAATGGTATTTTCAAGATTTTGTGAGTGTTAACAGAGAGAACAAAAAAATTGAGTTCAAATCTGGCAAATACATACTCAATTTATTTGTTGAAGCAAATAAATTATTTAAAGCCTTTTTCTTAATAAAAAAGAATAAACACGACCTTGCTTTGAAAAAATAATTTTACAATTACGACTAATGATCTAATAATTTTTATTTAGGACTTAGAGGCAGTTCGTGCTTTGAATAAATTCATTTTCTATGCTGAAAAGAAAATATGTGATATCCGCATCTTAAGGTATTCCGTATCCCCCCCCAACAATTCGAAACGTAGCCGACGTCTTTCATCTACCTGGAGGCGTTACTTATTCTACCTACGGAAAGATCCGAAAGGCACACGGCAAGAGAGCCCTCTACGAGATTGCGCACGAGTATTGCTAATTGCATTACACGGATTTGAAGGCAAAATCTTGACGCACCGGTGCAATGACTGACCAGATCCACACGTCGCGTCGGCTTAATCGCTTTATAAAGCCTGCGATGGAGCTTTTGACAGTTCATCGGTTGCTTTTGTACGCCGATTGTCGATCGATTAGCAGGTTTGTAGAATCACCACGAGGCCTGTTCGTATCAGTTGGTGCTCGAATAATGGGATCATTAAGGAGTTCTCGATCGCGGAGCGGGGCATTGAACAGTATGAACAGGGTTGCAGGTTTAGACAAGAAAATAACGGAGTTTTTCCGAGCTTTACCAAAAAAAATCCCTGACCACACATGCCCTGATTTCATTCCTTTTCCTTATTCAGGGTTATTCAAAAGTCACGCACCACTGACAATAACTTAAAGTTCTAATTATGATATCAACTTGCGGTTCAAGACGTTTTTCCTCATAGTGAGGGGAAAACTTTTTAAAGTACTTTCCAGTTTTTTGATCCCTTCGGACGGAGGAGGGCGGGGGCCAACTCAAAAATTTCAAATGGCCACCACGACCACCCTCATGGCCAGTGGTGCGTGACTTTTGAATAACCCTGTATAAACCTCATTGAAAATGATTGCCCAATTCACTACTAGAGTGTGACTACAAGCACTGAAACTAATGCCAGACTGAGTTTAATTGTATGGACAGCGCTAAGGTTAGTCTTCTTTTTTTTTTTCTTTCGGATTTTAATTTTCAAGAAGTTTCAAGTTTCTAGTGATTTTCATAAATTTCTCTAATTTTCCTGACCTGATAAAATTCTTCGACCATTTCCTATTTTCTATACCTACAGAAATCCTGCCGACTTTTCCTATTCAAAAAATTAACGTAGGTAGTGAGCGATTCGTGCAATGGGAGGGACGGAAATTGTACGTCCATCAATTGTGTGTTCACAAAAAGTATTTGTGAGTCGACTTTGCTGCTTTCGTGATTTTCAGGTCAGTGAAGGGCCGTAGTCAAAATGTTAGGAAGGCAACATTTTAACACAATCATCGCATTTTTCGGAAAATGTACGATGACGTGATAAAAATTAGAATTAAATTACTTCATAGGCACAATGGGCGACGCTGGAATTAAGTTATGTTGTGAGAGAAACAAACACAGCGCCCTCAGTTGATAACGCATGCGACTAACATTGATGAATTCCATTACAACGCCTGGATACGACTATTCGAACTCCACGGATGTCCATGTTGCATACGCACGGAGTTGAAGGCGTTTTGACTTTCCAGGCACTCTCTGCTTCGCCCGTAGCGCAGCGCGGTGGCGGGTTGTACTACAAGGATTAAAAATGACAAATCGCCTTCGAGTTCTCGTTTATACTACGTGACATTTGATGGAAAGGCATCTCTTGGACACGAGGCACAACACACAGGCGGGTGATGCGAGTATCTTTGGTGCTTTAGTACAGAAATCGCGATGTACTACGATGATTTGTGTAGAGCAACTTTTCATGCCTAAAGATTTCTTCGTTGCATAAAAAAGAATTCAAGTAGCTACGTCTTTTTCCATCCTTGCAGTGCTGCCCGCCGATGCCGCCAAGCCACGCCGTGGGCGCAGCAGTGAGTGCCTGGAAAATTAAAACGCCTTCAAGTCCGTACGTATGCAATACGGACATCCGCAGAGTTCGAATAGTTGCATGCAGGCGTTGTAATAAAATCCGCTTCGTATTTATCGCGTACGATATTAACTTCCAATTAGGGCATTTTGCTTGTTTTTCTCACACCTTGACTTGATTCCAACATTACCTATTGCGCCGATTGAGTAAACAATTACTGATTTTTATCGCAACATTGTCGAAGCTACAATGATTGTTTACTTACATTTCCAATCCTCTAAACCGGAGAAAAAAAGGTAAAAAAATAGGTGTCTTAACAGAATTTGTGGAGTTTCCTTCAACCTACTTTAAGGAGTCGTCCTTTTTTTAAATGTGTTCTTTTTCGGAAAATTACTTCAGACGTTTAAGTACAAAATTTTTGAGAAACAATTCTGATGCATCGCACGGAATTTTGAAAAAAAACTACGAAATTCGACAGGATTTCTCGATGGCAATATTTGAATTTTGGGGTAACGTCCGATTTTGCCCTAACTTCCCCGGTCTTTTGTACCTAAATGATTATTGTAACGCCCTGTCTTTTCCAGGCGATCCCGATTTTCTGTTATCTTTGTGTCTCTGTTGACTTACCTTCAAGGTTGGCCATCGAAAGGCGGTATGTATCAGTCCTAGGAGGATTCAGATCTGACGCTGGCCGAGGGGTGCATGAATTGGAGCCAACATTATCCAAACCCTGCACAGAAAAACAGACGACACATGTTAGAACATTTTTGAAAGATACAATAATTGAAAGCAGTACAACAAATGTGATCAGAAAATAAAGCAGCTGCGGCTGTGGCAAGGAAAAGTCTTTGTCACCCAAAACTTTAAAATGTAAACAAATGGTTTCCTCATAAAAAAAAAAAAAAAAAAAAAAAAAAAAAAAAAAAAACACATTGTATTGAGTGACGTTTCATTGTCACAACTAAAATTTTACTTTGCGTACAGTAGTGGAAGTCACTTCCTTCACCACGCATTAATCTTTGCGCAAGGATGGACACTTTGCGAGTAATGAAAAATCTCAGATCTTTCAGTGTGAACACATTAATTAATTTTTGCGACGGTAATAAAAACAAAAACTCGAGAAAACTGACCAGTCCTCATAATTTTTAACGCTGAGATCATTTATGGTCTCAGAGATTTTGAAACATCAACTTATAGAATTTCCAGGCGTTTCGCGGAATAGGAATTATAATTTCCCTAAGACTTTTGGGGAGGAGGGAAGGAGAGGGGCGGAACTCCGACTGACTCATTTGGAAACAACTTATTACACGCTTTTGGAGGTCGGCTGTTCGACACTAGGACACCCTGTATAGTGGATGATTAAACCACCCGTGAAACAAGCGCTACACTATATAAAAACAGTCGTTTAAAACTGCATATCTCAGGCATCTTTTGACAGAAATTCAGGACAAAAAGGCAGGAGAAAGGGCCCCCATCGGAGGATACGTGACTTCCCCGAAAAGAGGCGCGGAACAAAAGATCGGCCGGAGAAAAGTGCAAGGAAGATTAACTACCTCCTGTCTGAGCGAGAAAAACGGCATCGATTCTGCAGTGCGGGCGCCGAAAATATTCCACGGGGGGCTACATCCCGAGTCCCGGCCAACTGGATCCTTAAATAAATCCTCCGACGGCTGAAACCACGGCTCGAGGCAATATCAGAGCCTCCGAGCACCGCTTATTTTTAAGCCAAGAGCCTCGAAGACGGTAAAAACAGCGCACTCGATTCCCACGTCGAAAAGAGCTCCATGTTCCATCCGACGCGACACTCACGCACGATCCCGGTACACTGAATCAGGAACAAGATCAGCACGACTCCTGATTTTTCGGAACAAAAAAGAAATTCTGAGAAGAAGACCGATGGGAACGGACCGCCGCGCGGAAATCGGATTTCAGCTGATCCTGCACTTAGACCGCACAATCGAACTTCACACGTCGATTCTCGAAAAAGAATAGACGGACACAGAAAGTGATGATCCACACGTGATTCATGAAGAACCGAAGATAGGCGAAAACATTACTTTCACACGGTTTCAGGATAAAAATCCCTGAGAATCTGAACTCACTTGGCGAATAAAAAACGGAGATCAACGAAAAAAACACCGATAAACACCGACACTGTCCTTCGGGGTTAGATTAAGGCGCAAATACTTCTTAAAATGCAATTTTTTTTTTTAGTTTCATTTAAAAACCCAAAACAAAGGAACGAGAGGAATACAAAGAGCGCAGTGACAAGTAGCAGAGAAAGCACGCACAATCAGCACAAAAATCAGTGTGGGTAAATTATGAACAGTACCGCGATTTTTGACGAAAACGAGGGATTCAAAAACACAATTTAATTCGATTTGAAACGCGAAAGATTTCCGAAAACAACGCTGGTGGCGGAGCGTCGCGGTGCGAGGCGCCGTGGTCCCAGTCGAGCGCGAACTGAGGAGCGGCAGCCTTGGGCCTTGGCCCTCAGAGTTCGCTGCTCGCGCGGCGCGGCGGCCAATGGGAAGGCGGCGTTGCGTCGGGAACGGAACTAACTGAAGGGTGACGGACTGACTGACTGACAAACAGACACCAGGACGCGGCTCCCCGAACTGGGAACCGCGCGAGAGAGACGAAAATACTTTCCCCGACCCCAGCCCCCCGAGCGGCAAGTCTGGCGTAGGCAGATGATATGAGGGGATAGCGCTGGGGACGATGGTGCGCTGCGGCGGTTTGGCAACGGGGTTGGAGTTCCAGCCCCGCCGGGCTGGAGTAACTGTACGCTCCTCTGTCAAACTCGAAAACAACTGACAAATCATTCCGACGCACGCACCGCCTCGCGCTTGTCGGGACGCAGCCCGCAACACGCCAACGCTGCCGAATTCCACCGGAAAACACTGCAAGAGTGGTTGCAGTGTCCAATGATATACGAGGCGAATTGGATTTGGTCAATTTTAGCGACCAGATCGGCAGGGTTGCAACCCAAATGAGAAGAACACTCTGCTGAAGTCAAGAACTAAACTCTGTTGCTTGATGAATGTTGGCCAACGTTTGCATCCATCCACTTTTCGACTGTAGCCGAATCCAAGAGAGGGCGTATACCCCTGCCCTCCTCACCCACTTCGCCCGAAAAAAGAAGGAAAATGGGGAAAAAGAAAGTAGGAAACAAAAAGAGAAAGATATAAATAAATAAAAAAAAGAAGGAATGAAGGAAGGAACGGAGGAAAGAAGAAAGGAGGATGTTGGTAATCAGTCATGACGAGATTGACTCAAACTGCAAATAGGATGCTTTAAAATTTCGAAAATTTTCGAGGGGAGCCCCGGGTATCCCCCTCGCCCGTTCTAAGTGACTGGATCAGCCTATGTTTTGACTCACCTCGGGAGGTGAGTCGAGAATTTTTGATACGGCCATCATTGATAGCAGCACGAAAACCAGGCATCAAGAAGGATTTAACTATGAAATTGCTATCGTAACTCACTTACAGGATGGGGAATTCAATTAAGAAAGTTGGCAAGGGTGGGAAAAACCTACCAGCCAATAGTCGATGTCCAAAATTGAGAATGAAATTTCAGTACCTAGTAAGCGCCATTGAATGTTGCTCAGATTAAGCGTGGAGTTCCTCGCTGCAATGGAACCATAATGCTTTCATTTCATCAACTTCTCGTTAAAAACTTTACTCTTACTATTATTACGTCGCGAGAATTATTCTAAAGTCATGACATTCAATAAACGAGAGAGAAAATCGCAAAACTTTAGTAACACCTGACGGCGCTTGTCATGTTTAGTATTCCCACTCTTCCGACGTAAAGGACGATTTCGATTGGACTGAAATTGGTGGATCGCGCACGAAGCGGCAACAGAGGCACGCACGCACCGCATGACGCAACACTTCTCGAGCGGCCGTTTCATTCAATTACTGGTAATAAGCTTTTGGACATCTTTTAAAGTTTGATACCTCCTCTTTTGCTTAATTGTGTGACGCTATTGAAACCATCCTTCTTCCTCGCGTCGGAATGTGCGGCTCACCGCAGCGCGGTCCCGCGGTAAGGACTAGAAAAGACTAGAAATTAGAATGACCGAATGATGAGTTGAGAGTCTTCAAGTGCTGACAATTATGTCCCAAAAATCGACATTCTTTCGACTCCGAGAGTATTTTTTACTTTTTCGAGTACAAAAGAGAGCCAGAAAAGGAATTAAGAGAAATAAAACACAACTGATGAGAGCCGCAACAGGATGAAAGGACGGAAAAAGCTCCCAAAAAGAAGTAAAAATTAAGTTCCGAAAAATAATAATGGGCGATCGAAAGGTAAACGGGATTGGGTCGGTGACTGTTCAAACAACCATGTCGAGGGGTGGCATCATCATTTTTCGAAGGCGAATCTAAAAATTTAACAGTCGGAAAACTAGGGATGGTTTTTTTTTCGAACTTCTCGGAGAATTTTATTCTAAAATGTATGAAGTGAGTAAGACATTTTCAAGATAAAATATTCATAGGTATGTTACAAAATACATGAATATATCGCGGGAAATTTGGCAACATCCGAAAGCTCCCACTAGTGTGGCAGTCACTGCACTGTCTACAACGGAGTGGCTGGACCTCCGGGCCCTGCATTGAGCTCATGTGGCGGACCTAAAGGTCAGCCGAACGAAGTGCACGGGTATGACTCTGGACATCGTACACGCGTCCTTTGTGGCTTTTGAGAGTGTCGACTAAACTTTGATTTTGGATTTTCTTGACTCTGTCTGATACTTTGGACGAAAGTTCTTGATTTTTCGCGCGAATAAATTTTGGCACTAGTTTGATTTAAAAAATCATCATATTTGATGAATTGAGTCAAATTTTTCAAAAAATGCTGGAGGCACTCAAAACTTCCTGATCCATGACCGATTTTCCTTGCATTATCCTAATATTTTCTGATAACATCGAATTTCCTCATATATTCCGGTTTTACTGGTAATAGACACCCTGCCGTATGACTGCGACGGACAAAAAAAAGATGCTACAGTGTATTTTCTTCGGAAAATACATAAATTCGAAGAAACAGATACGGTCATTTGTGAATCATCTGCATGCAACGTTTGCCATTTGTTGAGGCCCAAGAACCCCATAAAGCGCGGGCCGGATGTATATGCACCAATCAAAAATGTATCATCCAGTGTCCACGCTCAAACTCTACCGGCAATGGTACTCGAAACTTGGACGAGGCATTTTCAGTGTCGCATAAATCATCCGAAATTCGGATGGGCGCGGGCATCAGGGGTCAATTCGGGCTCCCGCGGAAGGAAAGAGGTTAGGAGCGCCCGGCGCCGCGCGTGCACTTGTTCCGACCGACAAAAAAACACGACACCCCCCCCCCCCCCCCCCCCCCCCCCCCCCCCCCCCCCCCCCCCCCCCCCCCCCCCCCCCCCCNGCGAATCAGTCACCCGCCCGCGACTGCAGCGCTTCCCCGCGCAAGGGTTACGGAAATCATTCCATAGAGCAATGAATTAAGTTCGGGAGAGGGGCCGCGGGATTGCAATGAAAATAACTTTATTTCGGGACCGGGCCCGCTCCTGTTCTGCCGCGCTGGTGAAAACCGCCGTATGATCCTACAGACGTTGTCAAATTTCCACTTATAAACGCCGGATTTCCTTGAGAACGAATGTTCATTTCTCTTTGAATTATTCACGGAATCTTATTTGCAATCTAATCTGCAGCGTCTGAAAATATCAAGGGAAAATAT